ATTGGTTTTATTGTTGTTGTTTTGGGTTCTTTTTTTGCTTTTTGGGTCACACCCAGCGATGCACAGGGGTCACTCCTGGCTCATGCACTCAGGAATTACCCATGGCGGTGCTCAGGGGACCATATGGGATGCTGGGAATCGAACCCAGGTCGGCCACGTGCAAGTTAAGTGCCCTACCCACTGTGCTATGGCACTAGCCCCTATATAAAGTCACAGTCCTCCCGTTGTTCATCGATTTGCTCGAGCGGGCCCAGTAACGTATCCATCGTGAGACTTCTTGTTACTGTGTTTGGCATTTCAGATACGTCACGGGGAGCTTGCCAGGCTCTGCTGTTCGGGTGAGATACTCTCGGTAGCTTGCCGGGCTCTCCGAAAGGGATGGAGGAATCGAACTAGGGTCGGCCATGTTAGCCGCTTGTAAGGCAAACGCCCTACCGCTGTGCTATATAAAGTATTATTTTTTATATACTTAGTTCAATAGTGACTTTTAAAATAAAAGCTATATCCCTAGTTGTTTAAAATCACTTGCCTGTAGTAGGAACACCTCAGTTTGAAAATTGACTTCAAAATAATTATCTCCCGAAAATTTCTTTTATATGGAGCCATAAGGAAGGAACATGTTATACAATTCCTTTTTATCTGGGAATCAGGGATTTGTTCACAAATACACAGAATTTATTGATAGTATTGTTTTCTCTTTTCTTCATATATAAATTCCCATTCTAATATAAAATTATTACATAACTATTAGAAAAGGTCGGGAGACTTATTCTGAGCATTAAAAGAAGCCTTTATGCAGAATGATGGATCTGACTTTCTAATGTTCTGTCACAGACAGGAAAGGATAGTTTTGTTTTGCTTAAATAGGAAAGCAAAATAATGTAACTTTGCCTTGCATGCAGCCAACATGGCCAACCCGGGTTCGATTCTTCCGCCCCTCTCAGAGAGCCCGGAAAGCTACCGAGAGTATCTCCCCCGCACAGCAAAGCCTGGCAAGCTCCCCGTGACGTATTCAGTATGCCAAAAACAATAACAACAAGTCTCACAATTTGTTGTAAGACATTATTGGTGCCCGCTCCAGCAAATCGTTGAACAACGGGAGGACAGTGATACAGTGATACCAGTATAATATAATTTATACCGGGCTGGAGCAATAGCACAGCGGGTAGGGCATTTGCCTTTCACACGGCCGACCCGGGTTTGATTCCTCTGTCCATCTCGAGAGCCTGGTAAACTACTGAGAGTATCCTGCCCGCATGGCAGAGCCTGGCAAGCACCATGTGGCATATTCGATATGCCAAAAACAGTAACAAGTCTCATGATGGAGACGTTACTAGTGCCTGCTTGAGCAAATTGATGAACAATGGGAGGACAGTGCTACAGTGCTACCCCACAAATGAGTGCAGTCATTCTATGTCTGTCTTTCTCCACAGTTGCTTTTTTTAAAACAAGTTGAAGATGATTAGCTTTCCCTAAATTGCTAAGTTTGCATCCTAAGTGGATATTGATTTTGTTGAAAGCTTTTTTCGCATAGAATCATGTGAACATAGTTGTTTTGTCAGTGATAAATTATGTAGACAGATACTTATTACTGCTATGATAAGACTCACTGTGTTTTGATTTATCTAAATATGGGTTTGACGTGTAAGGTAAAAAGCAACAGGGGTAGGACTGGAGAGATAGCACAGCGGGTAAGGGCATTTGCCTTGCACGCGACCCACCCAGGTTTGAGTCCCAGCATCCCATATGGTCCCCTGAGCACCTCCGGGAGTAACTGCTGAGTGCAGAGCCAGAAGTAACCCCTGTGCATCGCCAGGTATGATCCAAAAAGCAAAAAAAAAAAAAAATTAAAAATAATAAAAAAAATACAGGGGTATGGTGCCGCCAGCAGGTCAATCTGTACCTGTGAGGCGAGTGCATCAGCAGCCTGATGGCGCCTTTAGACTTCCAGATACCCCAAAATTGCTGCTGTGCTTTTGGCCAGACCCCAAAAACTTGGGGCAAAGTTTACCAAGAAAGTAAATGGCCAAAAGTTAGGTATGTGGGAAACACACCCACAAACCACCTCTGGCTCAGCTATATAATTGGAGGCATGGCCTCTCTGGTTCCTGATTGAACTGCTTAATGGCCATGATCCCAGAGACTCAGAAACAAATCTCAAAACCCAGCAGCTTTTGGCAGAAATGCGTCCGGTCTCTGCAGTAGGTTACCGGTGCTGGGCCAGCCCAGGTGGGAATAAGTTTCATGCCTTGACCTGTTCCCCCCGGCGGCCCAGTGGCCGCCATCCTTCAGAGGCCACTGGACAGTCAGATATGAGCCCCCAGTGACGAGACACGCAGGGCCTCACGGGATGGGGATGGAGCCAGTCCTGTCCTCCCCATCCCAATGAGATCCCAAGTCATCACCCACGAACGGCCTCCCCAGGGAGGAAGGGTGTTGTCCCTCCGCCTGCTCCCCCTTGGTGGTTTAGTGGCTGTCATCCTCCAGAGACCATTGGACAGTCAGGTCTGGGCCCACAGTGACAAGACATTTTGGGCCTCACAGGATGGGGGGGAGCCGGGTCTGTCCTCCCCACCCCAACGAGACCCCAAGTCATCGCCCACGAACGGCCTCTCTGGCTCCTGATCAAGCTGCTCAATGGCCATGATCCCAGAGACTCAGGAGCAAATCTTGAAACCCAGTGGCTTTTGGCAGAAATCCCTCCAGATTTAAGTGTTAAAATTCAGAATTTCAAAATCACACGGCCCTACTGCAGCCACGTGACATCATATATGTTATTCATAACCAGCAACAGAACACAAATTGCCTACTGTTGCCTTTTCAGCAGATCTGAGTGTTGGGGTAAAATCTCAAATAATAATGGTGGGTCTGGTGTCAAAATATTGAATGTGATCAAAGTAGAGAGAGAGTAATGTGGAAATCATCTACCCCACAGGTAGGGGGAGGGTATGGGATGGGGGTATACTGGGGTTTTGGTGGTGGAGAATGGGCACTGGTAAAGGTATGGGTGTTTCATCGTACGACGAGACTTAGACCCGAAGCTTTGTAACTGCTCTCACAGTGATTCAATAAATAAAATTATAAAAAATGAAAAATAAATAAATAAATAAAAAGCAACAGGGGACATAACAGAAGGCCTCTATAGCCATGCCACCGGATTCTGCGCCAGGCTGTTTAACTCAGGGCGCCTGGGGCGGGGGGAGAGCCCTCCCCGCCCCAAGAAGAAAAAACCTGCACAACCCAACTGCCGCCACACTAAAGGCCGCTCCCCACATGCTTGGACCAAGCCTCACTTACAAGTGAACGTATTCCTGGACATCTTATAAGACATTCCCTACCCATTTTCCATAATTACCACACCATATCTGATGGGGTTCAGATAGTAGGCAGCAAAGTACTGTAGCACTGTCCTCCCATTATTCATTGATTTGCTTGAGCGGGCCCAGTAACATCTCCATCTTGAGACTTGTTGTTACTATGTTTGGCATATCAAATATGTCAGGAGGAGCTTGCCAGGCTTTGTCGTGTGGGTGAGATACTCTCGGTAGCTTGCCGGGCTCTCCTAGAGGGGTGGAGGAATCAAACGCGGCTCGGCCGGGCAGGCTGCATGCAAGGCAAACGCCCTACCGCTGTGCTATCCCTCCAGCAAAGCACAGAGGGGGGAAAAATATATATATATGCATATATACATATTTTCAGACATATATACCAAAGCTCACATCACCCAAACTTTAACAACATGTTAGTGATACGCTATAGAATGTCTTAATGGCTCCTGCCAAAATAGAACAATCTTCATAGTGTTTCCTTGTAAGCATATTCGGCAGTTCTTCATAAGAGATAATACAAAATATATTAGTTCGGTTGTGTTTTGGGGCAGGGCTTGGGGCTTGGGATGGAAACATCCCGAATTTGGTGGTGGGACTGGTGTTTGAATACTAAATGTAAGGAAATCTTGTGAACTAGTTTATAAAAAAAAATAATTTAAGAAAACAGAGTCCCGGGGCTAGAGCGATAGCACAGCAGGTAGGGCATTTGCCTTGCACGCAGCCGACCCGGTTTCGATTCCCAGCATCCCATATGGTCCCTTGAGCACTGCCTGGAGTAACTCCTGAGTGAAGAGCCAGGAGTAACCCCTGTGCATCGCTGGGCGTGGCCCAAAAAGCAAAAAAATAAAAATTAAATTAAATTTAAAAAAACAGGGTCCAGAGTGATAGTACAGTGAGTAGTGTCCTTGCCAACCCAGGTTCCATCCCTGGCATCCCATAAGGTCCCCAGGGATTGCCAGAAGTGATTCCTGAGCATAGAGCCAGGAGTATACTTTGAGCATCATCAGACGTAGCCCCAAAACAAAACCAAGAAATATAGGGCATAATTTTATTTCTTAATATTCTTTGTTATTTTTAAATATATTACTTCTATATTTTTATATGGTTTCAAAAGTTTTAATGTCAAAAAAATAAAAATAGAAATAAGAATTGCTTAAAAGTTATTGTTTTTAACTAAAATCTCTTACAATATGCTAAGAAGCTAAAATACTCAATTCCCAAAACTTGATTATCATCACATCTAAGAACTCTGAAAGAGGAGCCAGAGTGATAGCACAGTGGGTAGGGTACTTGCACGCAGCCGACTCGGGTCCCATCCCCGGCATCCCCTGTGGTCCTCCAAGAACCACCAGGAGAAAATTCCTGAGTGCAGAGCCAGGAGTAACAACCCCTGAGCATTGCAGGTCGTGTTTCCCCCAACTTGCAAAAAAAAATAATAGTAAAATTGGAAAGAAAATGCCGCATCAAAGAATCCTAAGACAAGGAAAAGGATGATATGTACACAGCAGAGCCCCTGATCATTTTTATTCTATATTGAAATCACTTGAAATCAACAATTTTGTCATATAGTTCTTAGTATACAACCTTGGAGAAAGTGAAGTGTAATCAGGGGTATAAAAAAGCCATTTTTCTCATATAAGTTCAGTCAGGGAATTCCAGGAATTAAGTGTACTAGCAAGCCGTGGACAGAGAGCAGCCCTCAGAAACTTGTCGTTTCCCTGTCTAAGTTCCAGATGAAAAAACCCTTTGGAGTGCAAGCTGGGCTTTGCCACCTGTTTCCCTCAAAGGTAAAATCTCCGAGGAGTAAGTTTCCTCTGCTGCCTCCTTCTCCAGCACCTCCCATATCCCACTGTGCTGCTGCATCTTCTGCTGGGTCTTCTCTTCGGCAGTGCGGGATCTCCAGTCTGTTTTCCCCTTTCCGGGAGCACCTTTTGATTTCTCTGACATCGGGTAAGCAATCAAGTCCAGTGCTTTAGTGCACCGTGCGGACTTCCCAGCACGTGTGTCCCGGGCAGAGCCGCGGCCGGTGGTGTTGCTGCGGGCGGCGTGATAGTTGAGCTGGAGCAGAAGCTCCCTGACCGTGTCGCCTTTCCGACCGCTCTCCCAGTATTTCACGTTCGCTACTGGAGGCCAGCCTTTCTTGCTCTGCATCGATTCAATTTCCCTCAGAAGGCTGCAAAAGATGGAGAGTTGGGGCTGGAGTGATAGCTACGACGGCTAGGGCGTTTGACTTGCTGACACGGGTTTGATTCCCAGCATCCCATGTGGTCCCCTGAGCACCACCAGGAGTAATTCCTGAGTGCATGAGCCAGGAGTAACCCCTGTGCATCGCTGGGTATGACCCAAAGAGCAGGAAAAAAAAAAAAAAAGATGAAGAGTTGTCATGAGATCATCTATCTGTCAGACCATGAATGCCCAGAAATACCTTTTGAATTTGAGACTTAGAACAGAAACTCACTGCAGGATTCCAGGAACTGAGGGATGAGCAGAGCCCAGGTGGGTGGTCCTCAAATCAAGTGACCTGTACAAGTGGCCCGTGGCCTCCGTGAGGATAGAACTTGAAGAGTCGCTCAGCAGCAATTGACTTGCTGGGTAGATGAGATGAAGAATGAAAAAAAAAAAAAACAACGGTGTTAACAGTTGATGAAGACAGGAAGGTATGTAGGTACTCACAATACATTCGCAGCTGCCATCATCAGTAATTTAAATCAATTCCCTGAAACATGTTAAAGGGGCCAGAGGGATAGTACAGTGGATAGTGTGCTTGCTTTGCATGCTGCTGCCCCAGGTTCCATCCCTGGCATGTCATATGGAACCTTGAACTTGCCAAGAGTGACCCCGAGTGTAAAGCCAGGAGTTCACCCTGTGTCCTGCTGTGTTTGGTCCCCAAACTAAATAAACAAATAGAACGTGCTAAAAAAAATTTTTTAGGGGCTGGAGCAATAGCACAGCGGGTAGGGCATTTGCCTTGCATCTGGCCGACCCGGGTTCAATTCCCAGCATCCCATATGGTCCCCTGAGCACCGCCAGGGATAATTCCTGAGTGCAGAGCCGGGAGTAACCCCTTTGCATCCCCAAAAAGCAAAAAAGAATTAAAAAATTAATATACTTTATACCTGATTTGCAAGTACGCATTCTTTTATTTTTATCCCATTATAAAGACTACTTTTATTAGGGGGCGGAATGGACACGATTTATTACACATGGAATACAGAGACGGTGTTTGTAGGGCGTGGACCCTGGCATGTGGTAGAGACAGCTGGGTATGTACAGACGAAAAAACATGGGCAGCTGACCCAGCCCGTGTCCCTGTACTAACAAGAATAATCTCAGCCAATTCATGTGCGTAATTACCATCTGCTGGGCCTGTGTCATCCTGTAAGATAGAAACTGTCATCACTTGTCTTCTCCCCTCCTCGCCTCCCCCCCAGACACACTGTCCCTTCTCTTTTTTAATAGGTTTGGGGATTTTTTCCCTTTGGTTTCTTATTTTTGCACCAAGCCCAGCATGTACCGTGCCTGGCAGTGCTGTTCTTCAGGGACCCCGTGAAGCCAGGGATCAAACCTGTGGCTTCAGAACGTGCTCTCTCCCCAGGCCTTCTTTTGTTTGGATTATTTTGTTTGTTTGTTTTGTTTTGGGACCACATTCAGTAATGCTCAAGGTTTACTCCTGGCTCTGCATTCAGGGATGACTCCTGGCAGGGTTTGGGAGACCATCTGGGGTGTCAGGGATAGAACTCTGGTGGACCACATGCAAGGCAAATACCCTACCCGCTGTACGATTGCTCTGGCCCCCTCTACCCCAGGTCTTTCTTTCTCAATATACTACATAGTCCAGGGACACAAAAAATCAAAAAGTAGTTAGATATAAGGTGGAAAGTGCCTCTCCCATCTCAATCGCCACCTATAAAGGCTTCTAAAGTCTGTGCCCTTGGCGCTGGAGCGATAGTACAGCAAGTAGGGAGTTTACCTTGCACGCAGCCGACCGGACCAGAGTTCAATCCCTGGCATCCCACATGGTCCCCCGAGCATTGTCAGAAGTAACTCCTGTGTGCAGAGCCAGGAGTAACCCCTGAGCATAACTGGGTGTGACCCAAAAAGCAATAAATAAATAAATAAATAAATAAATAAATAAATAAAGTATGTGCCCTTGCAGGATTTTCACTATTATTCAGTCTTTGAAAAATTAGAAAAAGATTAAGTAGTTTGCTCCAGGGGATAAAGAGATAGTGCAATGGGTAGGCAAGGGTGGAGAGGGAGAGAGGAAAAGGGAGGGAAAGAGGGAGAGAGGAAGGGAGGCGGGGAGAGAGAAGAGAGAAACAGAGAGAGAGAGAGAGAGAGAGAGAGAGAGAGAGGTGTCCTGGGGGTGATGGAAGAGAAACTGAGTACAATGGTGGTAGGAAATGTACACTGGTGGAGGGATGGGTGTTGGAACACGGTATGACTAAAACCTAACCATGAACAGCTTTGTAAGGGTCTATTTCACGGTGATTCAATAAAAAAAAAAAATTAAATGATAATAATCTCCTGGCACCTCATATGGTCCCTTGAGAACTGCCAGGTGTGACCTCCAAACCAAAATAAAATAAAGTGACTTGCTCCAGTTAGTGGTAGGATGACCCCAGCCCCGGCCCTGACCATCCATAGGCTACCGGTCTCTCTCCGCTGCCACTCTGCTTCACAGTCATAGCTCAGGTCTCATACCGCCCACAGCTGCTTCTGGAAATCCGATAGGGAGTTTAGGGCCGCTCTGTTTAGCAATCTGGAGCTGAGATCCCTACGTGGCTGAGCAAGGACTCGTTCCCAGAGAGCCTCTGGACACCCACACCAGATGCTGTGCGCTACTCATTTCTGCCCCAAGTCCTTTAAGAGACTTTGCCTTGAGCCAGGGAGAACGCTCGCACATTGCATGCAATTGACCCAGTCCACTCCCTGGCATTGCATGGTCCAACAAACACCACCAGGACTGACCCCCCAAGCACCAAGGCTCTGACCTCAAAGCCCAGTGCTTATTCCTTCACAGCTGCTAGGAAAGAAGTGCGGCCCTGAGTGTGGCCCACCCTCTGCTCCCTCAGAGCAGATTCCCAAGCAGATCTCAGTCTGGGGCAGAGGAAATGCCCGGTGAGTTCACTGAAGGTGGCGAGAAGTCGCCGAGGCCCCGCTCCTTCAATCCTAACGTTTCCTTGAGCACTCATGGCTGCTTTGCGTCCATTATCTCATATATGGGATATAGCCCTGTAGGTAGACTCAGCATCCAATTCAGGTCAGTAAGAAAATTGGGGCTCAGAGCAGATATATCCTGGCCTTCAAATCCTAGTTCCCAGGATCTGGCAAGAACCCCAGATAAAAAGAATTCCCACATCGAAAGGCCCGACGTGATGAGACAGTTCCTGCTAGCAGTAGGTGGGGATGTCCCTGTTCACCAGATGCGCCGTGTCCGGGGGACTCCAGGGGTCTCACTGCCGCGCCCAGGACTGCCCAGTTCCCAGAATGGGCTCCTGCTCAGCCACTGTCCCGAGACCAACTCGGCCACAGAACCCAGGAACTTCCCGCCTCGGCAGCCCAGAAGTACATGGAGCCAAGACGCCCTAAGACTGTGCTGAATGGGTCCCCTATCTTTGGAGACCTCCACTGTGTCAGTCTGACCAGGGGACTCTCTTTCAATAAACTCACTTTGCTCTGCCTAAACCATCTCACTCTCCTGGTAAATCCTCTTTCCAATCCTTGGCTCGGACCCAGAGGGGCCTGGGTTCTAGCCCCTGCTCCATACCCAGGTTCCGTTTAAAAAACAGAGCTCGAGAGCTGGAAGTGACAGGCCAGCAGGTGGGACACACGACTTGAGGGTGGTCAATCTACATTCCAACCCCAGTACAAGAGATAAGACCCCCAATTCCTGCCGGGAAGTGATCCTTGAGCTCAGGGCCAGGAGTAAGCCCCGAGCACCATCAGGGGTGACCCAAAAACCAAGCCAGAGAAAATACAGCAAGAAAGAACCTTCTGTTCCCATTTTGTACTTCTGGGTGGAGACACACCCACCAAGTGTGCACGAGAGACCTGAGTCCCAAGGGTTCCCTGCTAGTGCCTTGAAAATCTTTTCTCAGATATGATCAATATTCCTAATTCCCCCCCTCCAACCCCCCCCCCCCCCACACACACTTTATTTCAGAGTAAAAACAAAGTGGCATGTTTATGATTGCCTCTGGGCAAAGCATGATATCCAGAGCATCCCCCCCCCCCTATCTGACTCTTCCTTATCTCTCTCCAACCAAAACATAAGCCTGTTTCTCCTCCTTCACTTGCATGTGTGCTAAATCCTGAGAGACGATGGGTCTGCCCTAGGACCACATTTCAGCACCCCTCGCCTCCTCCACCTCCTCCCCCAACCCCTGACCTTGAGGTGGTGGTCTCCAGGTAACAAGGAACTTTCAGGGGCCAGAATCAGGAGGGCATCTGTCCGTCCCAGATGATCCCCTGAGCGCTACCAGGGGTGGCCCCTGAGTGCGTGCAGTCAGGAGGAAGCCCTGAGCACCACTGGGTGTAGTCCCAGAACAGAACAGAGCAAACAAACCCCCTTCCGGGAGTGGCTGGATGCCAAGAGTGATCCCTGAGCTAAGGCTTTGGAGCTGGAGGGCTGTATGGGGCAATCAGACAGCTTCCCCCGGGTGGGTCCAAGGGGGTGGGAAGTGGAAACGGAGGAGGTGGAAGAGAACTCAGCAGTCTGAGGCTGCCTCCTTGAGCCTCTTTTGCTCTGCTGAACATGCTGTGTGTAAGGTTTCTCTTGGCAGGCCTCCTGCTCCTTTGCTCCTTCTTGCAGTAATTGTGTGTCTGTTTTCAGGTTAAGGAGAGAGAAGAGTCTGAGATTGGATATTTCCAGGGGTTTCCGTTTCTGCCCTAAATCGGTGTCTATGCATGTGTGTGTGTGTGTGTGTGTGTGTGTGTGTGTGTGTGTGTATGCGTGTGCACATGTGCGTGCGTGTGTATACATCTGGTGTGTATAGTGGGAGTAGGGGTGGGGGGGCGAGGCTACAGGGTCAGAAGATACTTTTGTTTCATCTCTTCACTACCTAGAGGATAGGAAGTTGGTGGTCTGCCACAGGATTGTGGTTACAGCCAGAAATAACCTTCCTCTCGGAGCAGCTGCCCGGTGAAACAGGCTACCGTGCAATTACAGACATCTGCTCTCCTCTCTCCCGCGTGGGCTCCTTCCCCAAGCCCCACGAGCCCTAGACTGCCTCACCCCTTTCCTCAGCTCAGGATGCTGCCATAGCGCCCCACTTTCTATTCTGTCCTCAGACCCCTTCAGACCCATGTGGGTTTTCCTTGTGTGCAAATTTTCATTAGGTTCTCCTCTTTTTTTCCTCTGCCTGAGACCCCTTTGAACATTCAGCCATGCTGAGAAATTCATGGGGTCTTCCCTCCCCAGCACCTGCACTTTGTTTTTTTGTATTTTTTTTCTTTTTGGGTCACACCTGGCGATGCACAGGGGTTAGTCCTGGCTCTGCACTCAGGAGTTACTTCTGGCGGTGCTCAGGGGACCATATGGGATGCTGGGAATCGAACCCGGGTCGGCCGCGTGCAAGGCAAACGC